TGTCCCCTGAAGCCTTGAAGAACTTTGATGAACCTTTCCTCTTCTGCAATCTTGGGTCACTTACTATCCGTGTCACTCTATAAGGATCACAAGCCTGGGCACTGGGGCTTCCAGATCCATGTCCCTCTCTGAGTGATGAGCACAATGTGCAATGTGACCTCTGCTTAGTGACAGTGAGCAGGCACACACTCACCACACGGTCCACCTTCTCATTATCAGGTCCTGAAAGCCGCAGCCACTCAATGTCCAGTGGTCCTTGGTCCTCAGGGCTGAGGCTGAACTTGCAGGGCAGATACGCAGTCTCCCCTTTGGCTTTCTGAACTGTCTGCTCGGGAGTGGTGACGGTCAAACTTCCGGTGAAATCTGCAGAAGGAAAATGAATGACTCTAAGCATCTGCTGTCACTCACCAGGTCACTCTTCACTATGCCACTCAGGAGACAGGATGTAGAGATTTGGTGGGATCTGAACCTAAAAGGGTGGAGATCCCACCCAGGGATGCTCAGGTTTTAGTTTGTGTCTCCATAAAAATGGAACAGCTATTCACATCTCATTCTATGAAAGTCCCTTTACAACACTGTGAGCTTCCCAGTGTTATATAAACTATAAAGAAGGGGTTTCCATATCTCAGTGTAGAACTAAATTCAGTTCGAGCTGAAAGATCTGTTGTGTCTACAGATTCAAAGCTAAGTTGGTACATGCTGGCCATAGACACTGGGAGCTCTAGGCAAGGCATACGCTGTTTACTTTGACACATTCTGCCAAGGCTTCTTTAATTCTAAATTTTTATTAAATCTGATTCTATAATTTTGTGGCTTGCAATACTGGGTATTGAATCTAGGGACTGTGTATGTTACGTCAGCACTACCCCTTGACCTACACATCCCCAGTCCTGAATGCTTAAAAATATTTCTGACAGGCTAAGCTGTTATGAGTGCTTGCTGCTCTTTCAGATGACCCAGGCTCAGTTCCTAGCACCCATGTTGTGCTCACGCCCATCTGTAACTCAAGCTTCAGGGGATCTGAAGTCTTCTGGCCCTCATGGGCACCTGCTCACATGTGATGCCCATACATATACTCAGGCACACGCACATACAAATAAAATAAATTAATAAATTTAAATATTTTTCTGAACAATTTAAAGACAATTTAAGAAGAAACATCATTGTTTCTTTATATATGCATATACATATATATATATATATATATATATATATATATATATATTTTGTTTTTTTGTGTTTTGTTTTGTTTGAGACAGGGTCTTCCTGTAGTCCTGGTTGGCCTGGAATTCACTATGTACCAGACTGGCCTGGAAGTCTCAGAGATCCGCCTACGTCTGCCTCCCAAGTCCTGAGATTAAAGGCATGTGCCACCATGCCCCCCCCTTAATATTATCTTTAAGACATTTATCGTCTACATCTTTCCTATTTCCTTTCTGAAAACGTGAATCATATTCATTTCGTTATTTTTGAGGAGACATTGAAAATTTTCACAACTTGTGTATTCTATAAAATCTGCATTCCAGGCCAGTACGATGACTTTTTTTGGCAAAGGACTTACAAGGCAGGCAAGGCTTGTGACCCCAGTTCAACACCAGAACCCACGTAAAGGTGGAGAAAAGAATCAAATCGACAAACTTGACCTCAGGTATCCACACTCAAGCAAGTGCACCGCAGTCCCACACACACACACACACACACACACACACACACACACACATTCACACACACACACACACACACACACACACACACACACTTTTTGAAGCCTTCCATTTAGTTACCTAGATCACACTTTAGGATAACATTGAAAGGCCTTTTGTTTTGTTTTGTTTGATACACAATAATTTGAGCTCTAAATAAGCACAAACTCACAAAAATGTCGGTGAAGCGCAGTGACGGAGCACTTAACCAGTACAATACGCCACTGAAAATTTAATTGTTAAAACAGATGGCTCCGGCCCCTTGCACCTGTGCAAGAGTTCAAGAAAACCTCCAGTCTTCTAACAGTTGCTTTAATAGCAGTGAGAAAAAGGTATTATTTCTTAATCTATAAGAGAGGAATTCTATTGAGTATAATCAGTGTACTTTTGTTTTTTTTCCAAAGAAATGCAATTCTGATCGCAATTCTGATCATAGCCATTTCTACATAAAAAATGAGTTTATTCACTTCTTGTCTTGAAATAAGATCAAATGTGGACAGGCAATACCATGGTTTGAATGTAAATTCAGGGCCGGCTAGCCGGCTAAGCAGGTGAAAGTGCTTGCCAGGTATGCTGAGGACCCGAGTTCCATTCCTAACCCAGAGTGGAAAGAGAACAGCAACTTCTGAAAGATGTTCTCTGACCTCTACACGTGTTGTCGCATGCACCTACCTATACACATGCACACTCACATAAATGTAATTTAAATAAATAAAAGCACAAATAGTAACACACAAAGGAGAGAAATACAATTAAATTTACTAAGGAGCATCAAGATGTGTTTGGAGGCGGGAGATCATGATTGACGTTGCAGTCGCTTCTTCTAGTCTACTCATTTCACACCCTAGGAAACATTCCTAACTGGCTCCACTTGGGCTAAAGTACCATTGACCAGAGTCTGCACTCCGCAGTGCTGCCAGCAGAAGACTGACTCACCACCAGCACAACCTGACACTGCCAGTGTGTACAGTGCATGTCCTAGTTTGTTCTTCATTGCTGTGACAAAACACTCTGACCACTACCAACTTGGGGAGGAAAGGGTTTATTCAGCTTACGTCTCCTGGGTCACAGCTCATCAGGGAGCCCAAGGTAGGAACTCAGGGCAGGAACCTGGAGTTAGGAGCTGGAGCACAGGCCATGGAGGAATCCTGCTTACAGGCTGGCTCCCCTGGCCCCTGCTCAGCCTGCTTTCTTATGCAACACAGGCCCACCTACCCAGGGGTGGCACCACTCACAGTGGGCTGGGCCCTCCCACATCACTCATCAAGAAGATGCCCCTCAGACATGGCCACAGGCCAGTCCAATAGAGGCAATTCCCCAATTGAGGCTCCCTCAACCCAGGTGTGTCAGGTTGACACTAAAGCTATCCAGCATAGCACATGCTCCCCTTTCTGTGGCTCTGTGTCTGACACTCCTGCTCTGGAGTGGAGCAGAACAACTCTGACTCCCACGTTAAGACTTCTTACCTCTGGGGGCTGGAGAGATGGCTCAGTGGTTAAGACCACTGACTGCTCTTGCAGAGGACCCGGGTTTGATTCCCAGCACCCACATTGTGGCTGCAAACCATCCTTAACTCCAGTTCCAGGGGAATCCGAAACCATCTTCTGACCTCCTCAGCATTGCATGACATGGGTACACTCAGATACATGCAGGCAATACACTCATACACATAAAATAAGAGTAATAAATAAAATATTTTTTTTTAATATTTAGAAGCTAGGCATGGTGGCGCATGCCTTTAATCCCAGCACTTAGGAGGCAGAGGCAGGCAGATCTCTGTGAGTTCAAGGCCAGCCTGGTCTACATAGTGAGTTCCAGAACAGCTGGGGCTACCGGGAGACACTCTCTCAAAAAGACCAAAAAAAAAAAAAATTTTAGAAAAAGACTCCTGACCTCACCCTCAGTGCTTCTATAAAGGATCAAGGAAGAGTTAATATGGGGGTGCCCTAATTAGATATTTCCAGAGTTATGCCAATCAGAAAAATCAGAAATTCCTACCAAAAATGATTCCTCAGAGTTTCCCAAAACATGAGACCTTGGGTTGTAGAACAGGTGATGTTGCTTTCATAATGGATTTTGCTTCCACTGTCCATCTGTGTAAAGTCGCCATGGTGAGGCAGCCACCCCAACAAGCATGCTGCCCAGGCTTTACATGGCATCCTGCACCCCCAATCCCAGGTAGGGACCTCCAGCCAGCCTTTCACCCCGCCTACCTCTTTCTGAGGATGGTGTGGTGTCCAGCACCCTGATTTGGGGAGAACTGCTCACTCCTGTTGTGACCCCAACCCTGCCACCATAGGACCACCTTAAAACTCACTGACCCCCCACAAATTTCTGAAGATTGGCAGCGAGAATCTTCTAGTGCTATAGAACATTTACTACTGGGCTCAGAAGTTTCACTTATCCCTTATCCCTAGAGGAGTTGGGACCACTTCTGACACCCCATTTACATATCCACACTGAGTGACCCCAAGACTGAATCTCAAGTATCTTTCAGCTGGTCCACAACTGGTAACTAGGGGTAACAGCAAACAAACATCCAAATACCCACTCAATAAATGTGAGACCAGATATCCATACCAAGAAGCATCAACAACAACCTAACTCCAGATGCCCGGGTCCCATCACAAAACATAAACAGCACAAATAACTAAAACAATGTCACCTCCAGAAATAAGTACCACCATAGTTAAGCTCCCTGAGGAAAGCAATATAGTTGATGCACAAGACAGTGATGTCAAAAGAGCGATAATAAGTATATTCAAGGAACTCAAAGAGGATATTCGTAAATTCTAGAAGACCGTGAAAACACAGAGCTGCGTGGGATGAAAAATTTCAAGATATGAAAGTAGAACTTAATAAATACACAGACTTTCTGAAGAAACACAAACTGGAATAAACATTGAAAATTTCAGTTAGTGAAAGTGAAATAAAGAAACTGAGTGGGAGACAGGCTGGAGAGATGGCCAGTAGTTAAGAGCACTGGTTGCTCTTGAAGAGGACCCGGGTTCGATTCCCAGCACCCACATGATGGCTAACAATCATCGCTAACTCCATTTCCAGAGGATCCAATACCCTCTTCTGACCTCCATGAACACTGCATGACATGGGTGCACTTAAATACCTGTAGCCAAGACACACACATAAAATAAAAACAGGTTTCAACAAATATTGGAAAATTGAATTAACATCTTGTATTGCATCTGACCACAAAGGAATAAAGCTGGATATCAAGAGATGTAGAGACTGCAGAAAGTATAGAAACTCATGGAAACTAAACAAACACTATCAAATGAAAATTGGGTAAAGAGAGAAATCAAGGGGGCTGGAGGGATGGCACAGTGGAGAGCACTGGCTGCTTTTGCAGGGGACCCAGGTTCAGTTCCTAGCACCCACATGGCAGCCGTAACTCCAGTTTCAGGGGATCTGACACCCTCTTCTGGCTTCCATGGGTATTGTACATATAGACATACATGCAGTCAAAACACTCATATATATATGTATGTATGTATATACATATATATAATGTGAGAGAGAAATCAAGAAATAAATGATAAATTCCTAGATTTGAATGAAAACGAAAACAACATACCAAAATCTATGGGACACAAGGAAGGCAGTCCGAAGAGAAAAGTTTATAGCACTAAATACCTACATCAAAAATTTGATGGGCTGGAGAAATGACTCCGTGGTTAAGAGCAGCTGCTGCTCTTACAGAGGACCCGGGTTAGGTTCTCAGCATCCACACTGCAGCTGACAACTACCTGTAACTCCGTTTCCAGGAAATCCAACCCTCTCTTCTGCCCCCTTGTCACACATGGGGCATTTACACACATGCAGGCAAAACACTCATACACATAAAATAAAAACAAATCTTTTAAAATAATTTAAATTGAGAGATCTCAAATTAATAACTTGATGACGCACCTGAATACCTTGGAAAAACAAGAACAAACAATACCCGAAAACAATAAATGAGAAGAAATACTTAAAATCAGGGCTGAAATTAATCAACTAGAAATGAAAAAGTGACTACAAAGAAGCAATTAGGCAAAAAGCGTGTTCTTTGAAGGTGTTAACAGGATTGACAAACCTTTAGCCAAAGTAACCAAAAGAACTTTGGAATAAATCTTACCAAGGAAATGAAAGACTTACCAAAAAAATTGAAGAAGGAAATTAAGAACAACAACAACAAAAACCCAGAAGATGGAAAGACCTCCGGTGCTCATGGATTGGTAGGATTAATATTGTGAAAACAGCAATCCTACTATTAAAAGCAATGTACAGATTCAATGCAATCTTCATCAAAATTCCAATGTAATTCTTGACAAAAAATGAAAAAAAAATCTTAAATTTCATATGGAAATTCAAAAAGCCCAGGATAGCAAAAACAATCCTGAACAATAAAAGAACTGTTGAATGGATCACCATTTCTGATTTTAAGTTATACTGTAGAGCCACAGCAACGAAAACAGCATGGTACCAGCATAAAAACAGACACACTGATCAATAGACTAGAACTACAGACCCAGTCCATGAACCTACAGGCACCTGATTTTGACAAAGGAGCCAAGGATACACACTGAAGAAAAGACAGCACCTTCAACAAAGAGTGATCAAACTGTATAGCTACATGTGGAAGAATGAAACTAGATCTTATCTCACCCTACACAAAACTCAACTCTAAATGGATCAAGGACCTAAACATAAGACCTGATGCCCTAAATATGAAAGAGAATAAAGTAGAGATACTCTGGAACTTACAGGCACAGGAAAGGACTTTCTGAACAAGACCCCAGTAGTGCATAAAGACCAACAATTAACAAATGAGACTTCACGAAACTAAGAAGTTTTCTATATAGGAACATCACTGCAGTGAAGAAGCAGCCTGCAAAATGGGGAAAAAAATCTTTGCCATCTATGCACTTTGTATATCTAGAATATACAAAGAACTAAAATCTACCCACCAAGAAAACAAACAACCCAAATAATGGGGCTCAGCAGTTAAGAACACTGGTCGTTCTTGCAGAAGACCCGGGTTCGAATCCCAGCACCCACATGGCAAACAACTGTATGTAAGTAACTCCAGTTCCAGGGGATCCAACAGCCTCTTCTGTCCTTCGCGGGCATTGCATGACACGGGTGCACTTACCTACATGCAGGCAATATATATACACATATAGAATAAAAATAATAAAAATATAGGGCTGGAGAGATGGCTCAGTGGTTAAGAGCATGGGCTACTCTTGCAGAGGACATGGGTTTGATTCCCAGCACCCACATGGCGGCTATGAACCGTCCGTAACTCCAGTTCCAGGGGAATCTGAAGCCCACTTCTGACCTCCACGGCATTGCACGACACGGGTGCACTCACATACATGCAGGTGATACACTCATACTCATAAAATAAAAATAATAAAACATTTAAATAATAATTTTTTTTAAAAAAAAGAAAAATGAACTTCTGAAAATCACATGTAAATTGGCAGAACTGGAAACAATCTTCCTGAGTGAGGTAACCCAGATACAGAAAGACAAATGTCCCATGTTCTCTCTCACATGTGGATGCTAGCTTTAAATCTTAGAGGTCAGGAAACTTGTAAGATGTATAGAGTGGAGACTTTCAAGGACAAGAAGATAGACTGCAGTGATATAAAGGGGGGAAGGAGAACAGTGGAACATGGAGGGTTTAATGGGTGGGAGGAGGGAGAGCAGGGTAGAGGAGGGAGTGTGGGGAGGGCAAACTAACACTAAAGACTGAAGAAGCCTTGCCTGTGCTCGGCACTCAGGAGGCAGAGGCAGGCAGATCTCTATCAGATTGAGACCAGCCTGGTCTATATAGGAAGTTCCAGCCTGGCTTAGGCTATGGAGAGACCCTGTTTCAACCCCTCTACCTCAAAATTTAAAAAGATTGAAAAATCCATACAGAAACCCAGTACTGTAGAAGTTTCCTAGAAGTTTCCTAAAACATATCCATATACATAAATAAAAGGGTTCAAATGGAGTTACCCTCTAACAGGCAGACAATGCCTCCCCCAGATACCACAGGCTATCAAACTAGAAGCCCAATGCCAGGTCTGAGTTACCTCTTTTTAAGTTTGATTAGGAATGTAGCTCAGTGTTGGAGCCCTGCTCTAGCAAGCATGAGGCCTAGCATAGCAAGAATAAATAAAATGATTACGCTAAAATCCGAGTTTTGTGTTACATAAATGCTGCTACTATGGCATGGTGCCCATTTACCCCATTACTAGGAAACACATCACCAACAACAGTTACTCACCAGTGACTGTCAGCTGCAGGTTCCTGTTGGCAACACTGGGGGCTTTTTTCACTCGGCATCGATAGGTGCCAGCGTCCGATAATTGCACATCTGTTACAGTGATCGAGGCATCTCCAGATTTGATATCGTTACTTGTGAAGTGTACTCGTCCTTTCAGATCTTCACAGAAGTCATAGTAGATCTTGTCTACAGAGTATAAAATAATCTAAAAGAAAACCAGAACAGAAGAAAAAAGTTAAGTGGACAAAATAGGAAACAAAACCAACAGAAAAACCTGTTTTGTGAAGAGCTCTACATACACCATGCTAACATAGAATCAAAACGTAGGAAAAAAGAAGGAAAGGAGGGAGGCGGGGGGGGCGAATAAGAGAGCTGTGGCGATGGCTATCACAAAGTGCCTGCCAGGCAAGCACAAGGAACCAAGGCAGGCACCCGAGAGCCAGTTTAAACCAGGCATGACCACATCTATAACCCTACGGCTGGAGTGGGGAGGTTTGTAGAGAGAGGCAGAATCTGGGACTCATTGGTCAGCCAGTCTAGCCGGTAAATGAGCCCCAGGTTCAGTTGGAGATTAAAGGGGGCCAGGTGTGGTGGTGTGCTCCCTTAATCCCAGCACTTGGGAAGCAGAGGAGGTGGATCTCTGTGAGATGGAGACCTGGTTTATATGATAAGCTCCAGGCCAGTTGGAGCTATAGGGAGACCTTGTGTTGAAAAAGCAAAACAAAACAAATTAAACTCAATTTAAAAAATACTGTTTGGAAACAGTTTCTAAACACTAATAAGAAAAAAAATTATAAAAAGTGTTTGAGTGTTATATCAAGTTACAAATAAAGCAAACACACAAAAACCAAAAAGTTTGCTCCAAACCTTCTATGAATAACGCAGGAACCTAATTCTACTGCATTTCTTCAGCCGCCACTATAGCTTTGAAGGCTTTGCAGAGTTAGCTGAAGACAGATACAGAGGGTAAACGGACTCTGCGCACACTCCCCTGGCTGCCCGGCCTACTCAGGACACCCCTCCACTCTTCTTTGCCTCCTGTCACACACTTTCAAGACTAGATTCTCAGAACTTTCATAACATCTGTCCCCTGAAGCCTTGAAGAACTTTGATGAACCTTTCCTCTTCTGCAATCTTGGGTCACTTACTATCCGTGTCACTCTATAAGGATCACAAGCCTGGGCACTGGGGCTTCCAGATCCATGTCCCTCTCTGAGTGATGAGCACAATGTGCAATGTGACCTCTGCTTAGTGACAGTGAGCAGGCACACACTCACCACACGGTCCACCTTCTCATTATCAGGTCCTGAAAGCCGCAGCCACTCAATGTCCAGTGGTCCTTGGTCCTCAGGGCTGAGGCTGAACTTGCAGGGCAGATACGCAGTCTCCCCTTTGGCTTTCTGAACTGTCTGCTCGGGAGTGGTGACGGCCAAACTTCCGGTGAAATCTGCAGAAGGAAAATGAATTTGACTCCTCACCACAGTCACTCAGGAGACAGGATGGGTAGGACCTGAACCCAGAGGGATGGAGTTCTCACCCAGGGATGCTCAGGTTTTAGTTTGTGTCCTCATAAAAATGGAACAACTATTCACATCTCATTCTATGAAAGTCCCTTTAGAGCACTGTGAGCTTCCCAGTGGCATATGAAATGTAAGTTTCTGCTAGGAGTGGGTTTCTACATCCTAGGAGACATGTAGAACTAACACATCTAGAGTTCCTCAAAAGTCAGTTTTGTATACAAATTCAAACCTAAATTGATTCATGCTAGACACAGTACCACAACACATTGGGAATGCTGGGCAGGGGATACATTGGCATAAGGGTCTAAATCCCTGATAGGCTGACAGGGCCGCTGACATAAAGATGGCACACTTCCTATTCTTGATTTGAGACAAAAACCTGGCCGGCTTTCTTTCTGGCTAGCAAGGCCTCCTGTGGCTAAGCAGTCCAGACCAGTTTAGATAAGACCAAGGCCAGATCTGAACACATCTCAGCTTGTAGCTGTAGCCAATCACAGCTCTGTCTTCTTTGCTTAAGTTGACCAATCCAAAATTAGAGGAGGGGCCTTATACTAGCAGAAACACTTAGTCCTACGTCCTCCTGGAGGCTTTGGCTTTTTGGCTTTTTCAGTTCCACATCCCCTCTGTACTTGTGGAGATCTCTCTCTCTCTCTCTCTCTCTCTCTCTCTCTCTCTCTCTCCCCCCCCGTGTTTGAAAAAGGCTTTTTTCTTTTTTTTAAAAATTTTAATTTTTTTATATATTTTATGTGTATTTAACTTACAAAAGAATGAGCACCCAGTGCCTTTTAATATTTATTTTATGTATATCAGCATGTTGCCTACATGTATGTAAGTGTGCCCATGTCATGCAATGCGATTCCTCTGGAACTGGCATTCCGGATGGTTGTTAGCTTCCATGTGGGTGCTGGGAATCAAACCCGAGTCCTCTGCAAGAGCAGCCAGTGCTCTTAACTGCTGAGCCATTTCTCCAGCCCCTCCCCGCTTATACACTTTTAATAGGGTTTCCTGCCTGTTGCTTTCTGCTGTCTGAGATTTTTCCTGCCTTTTAATTCTTTAATTGGTGTAGAAAATGAACCAGATCAAAACCCCGTAGGCAGTTAACATTGGTAAATTTTGGCAGTAACATTTTCTGGCAAAGCTTCTTGAATTCTAAATTTTTACCAAATTTGCTTTATAATTTTTACTGAAATTTTGTTGTTGTGTTGATGGTACTGGGGACTGAATCTGGGGACTTTGAATATTAGGCCAGCACTCTACCACTGAGCTACATCCCCAGCCCTGAATTCTTAAAAGTATTTATTTTTTCGTCTTCTTCTTCTTTTCTTTTTAGGTCTTTTTGAGACAGGGTCTCCCTGTAGCCCCAGCTGACCTGGAACTTGCTATGTAGACCAGGCTGGCCTCGAACTCATAGAGATCTGTCTGCCTCTGCCTCCCAAGTGCTAGAATTAAAGGTATGTGCCTCTATGCCCAGCCCTTAAAGTATTTCTGAGCAACAATTTTTTTTATAAAGGCAATTTAAGAAAATACACTGCCAAATTTTAAATCTCCGTAATTCACCAGCTGATTGGGCTTAGTATTATCTTTAAGACATTTCTCATTTCATCTCCCTTCCAAGTTCCCTTTTGAACAAGTCAATTGCATTTAATTGTTCTAGCTACTTCTCTGTTGCTGTGATAAACGCAGACCAAAAACAACTTGAGGAGGAAAAGGTTTATTTCAGCTTACAAGTCCAGCATCGTGGGACACCAAGACAGGAACCGAAGCAGAGACCCTGGAGGAACGCTGCTCACTGGCTTCCTTTCCCTGGCTTGCTCAGCTACCTTTCTTACAGAGCCCAGGTCCAAATGCCCAAGGATGGCACCACCCACAGAGCCGGTCCTCATTCATTAATACTTAAGAAGATTCCTCACAGGCCAATCTGTTGGATAAAATTTGTATTCTGTAGACCAGGCTGGCCTTGAACTCACAGAGATCCACCTGCCTCTGCCTCCTGAGTGCTGGGATTAAAGGTGTGCACCACCATGCCCGGCTGTCACTTTTGTTTTGTGTGATGCACATAGCCTGAACTCTAAACAAACAAAAATTTCCACAAAGGTTGGGGTGGAGCTCAGTGTAGAGCACTCACCTAACAAAATTCCCACTAATAATTTGTTAAAACAGATGACTTAAAACCACTGCAACTCTGCAAGAGCTCCAGAAAAACCTTTCTAAGAGTTGCTTTAACACTAGTGTCTCTTGAAAAACAATTCTGCCCATACTAAGTCCCACTTAGACGTGTCCGTTCACTACTTATCTTCAAATAAGATCAAAATTTGAACAGTCTGGGGGCTGGAGAGATAGATGGCTCAGTGGTTAAGAGCACTGGCTGCTCTTGCAGAGGATGAGGGATTGGTTAGGGAGGATTGTTAGCTGTCATGTGGTTGCTGGAATTCGAACCCGGGTCCTCTGCAAGAGCAGCCAGTGCTCTTAACTGCTGAGTCATCTCTCCAGCCCCTCCACAATATTTTCTCAAAGGTAAACTTACTGTGTGACTTTTCCTGGGGAAAAGTCTATTCACTCTAGCTAGGGCATCAGTGACAGATCAAAGAAATGATTCTCCCCACGTCTAGCTTGGTGAACAGGAGTATGAGGTGTGTTTACAGGAGCACGGGTGAATCAAAGGCAGGCATCACTGAAAAGCCAGTCCCAGCATGCTGACAGATCCTAGAAGCTGCATCCCTGGGCCTTGCTTTACAGCTTTGCTGGCAGCTCAGCTCATGAAATCTCTCTTTCCAGCAGGGTTCCTGCTTAGGCAAGCTTGGGGGAGGAGCCTTGTGAATCTAGAACTTTCTGAGCTTCCTCCCCATTTCCAGTCACAGGAGTTCTCCCTCCAGGAGGGACGGTTTTGGTCTCTGAGGAATAGTTACACAAAAACACACAGCCCACGTGTGTCCAGCTGTGTTGCCATCTTCAGTGGCTCCGCTCCATTTGGACTGTTCCTCACCCAAGCCTGCCATTCAGGCCCATGATGAGCTGGACGACGCTCCAAGCTCTAAGAGCCTGGTACATGGCCAGTCTCTCCCTTTTCTCACTATAGAAACACCACATTAGAACAAAACTAAGTCAATCCAAAGAAGGCTTTCCTTCAGAAGCCCTGGAGGTTTCATTCGCCTTAATATGCAAAGCCACAGCCCTGTTTTCATCACACTGCCACCCCACGTGCATGCACAGCCTTGCTGTAGCGGAGGGATCTGACGTGCACGCGATGCACTCGATGAATCCTTCCTGTCGTTTCTAGTAACTCAATTTCATTCCTACCTCATGCACCAGGGCAGTCTACCTCCCTGCCTTGTGTTTTTTCTTTCCTTCTTTCTGTGATTGCTGTTGGTATTCTGTTTATTACCCCCACCTGGCACTTATCATTTGCTACTTTGGATTTCTTTTATCTTTATAACTTAATTTTTTTTTTTAAAATTCATGTCGGGGCATGGTGACATACACCTTTAATTCCAACATTCACAAGGCAGAGTCTGGTGGATCTCTCTGAGATTGAGGCCAACCTAGTCTACATAGCAAGTTCCAGGCCAGCTGGAGACACTGGGAGGCTCTGTTTCAAAAAACAAAAGAAAAAACTTTTAATTAATTAATTTATTTTTATTTTATGTGTGTGTTTTGCCTGCATGTAAGTGCACCTGTGGAGGTTAAAAAAGGGATTCTGATTCCCTGGAACTGGAGTTACCACCAGTTATTAACCATCACCTAGGTGCTGGGAACCTAACCAAAGTCTTCTGTAAGAATAGTCAGTACTCTTAACCACTGAGCCATCTCTCCAATCCTGTTATCTTTATAATTTTAATGGTAAAGCTGACAGTTTTATCACAGCTCTTAGATGTTGATGGTTATATCTTCTTCCCAAACTACTTTGCCATCTTGGGGTTTTTAAAAACTGCATGTCCCAGCGAGCTACTAAATCATGAGCCCCATTTGGATGGGAAAAACTGTGGACTCCTCTGTTTCCTGTTGTAGTTCTTTTCATATAGAAAAGTGCCAGTGACTCAAAGGTATATTTGATCAATTATAGAAATGTTGAATGAGGTCCTAGGTTCAACACCCAGTAGGGAGGGATGCTGGAAAGCACATTAATGTGTCTGAAGAAACTCCCTACTTCAACAGCTTTTTATAAGTCATAAATACCAAAAAAGACCAAGAAGTAAAATTGCTATAAATAACAATGAAAATGTCCTGATTGCTACATGCCTTTTTATTTTGTAGAATCAAACAAAAATTAAATGATTTCAATCAAACATCTAAATATGCAGAAGTCCAACCCTTCCTGATACACATTCCCAGTACTTACCCTACCCACAGTGTCACCAGAATAAAATGCAACTTGGTTTTCAAAATGTATCTTTCATTCTTTCTTGTTTGTTATATAAAAATAATTTTTTTTGAGACAGGGTCTCCCTGTAGCCCCAGCTGACCTGGAACTCACTATGTAGACCAGGCTAGCCTTGAACTCAAGGAGATCTGCCTGCCTCTGCCTCCTGAGTGCTGGGATTAAAGTCCCGACCCACCACGCCCAGCTCTAGAAATACTTTTAAAGACTACCTTTTGGGCTGAAGATAAATCTCCTGCATTTCGTAAAACTGGGCATGGTGGTGCACACCTGTGCTCCCAACAATCAGGAAATGCAGGCAGGGGGTAGAAGTTCAAGGTCATCCTCAGCCTGGGATCTCAAAAATAAACAAATAATGGCTGGGCATGGTGGCGTATACCTTTAACCCCGGGACTCCAGAGGCCGACAGGTGGATCTCTGTGAGACTGAGGCCAGCCTGGTTCTTACAGTGAGTTCCAGTCCTACTGGGGCTACAGGGAGACCCTGTCCCCAAAAAGACCAAAAAAAAAAAAAAAAAGAGTTACATATGTGTATACAATTACAATTATCTGGAAAGATTGGTGCCAGACTGTTCACACTAATTATTTTTAAGATCTGAGATTTTAAGGGAGAAGACTTCCCATGTTCTTATGCATACAGTGCTTAAGAAATTTGAAATGACTTTCAGGATTGCTTTTTCAAAATAAAAATTTTGAAAATATATTATTATTATTATTATTATTGTCTTTTTTGACTAGTTCCAGCTGGCCTGGAACTCCCTATGTAGACCAGGCTGGCCTTGAACTTACAGAGATCCACTTGCCTCTGCCTCTGGAGTGCTGGGATTAAAGGTGTGCACCACCACGCCCAGCATATTTTATTATTTTTATTGTAGTATATGAGTGTAATGTCTGTATGTATGCAAGTGCACTCATGTTGTGCAGTGCCCACAGAGGTCAGAAGAGGGTGTCAGATCCCCTGGAACTGGAGTTAGCCATCATGTAGATGCTGGGAACCAAACCCAGCTCCTCTGCAAGAGGAGACAAGCCGTCTCTTCAGCCCCCTCAAAATATATTTCTTACAAAGGTTTACAACATTCTGCTGTGCTTCATGGTATCGCACTAGAGATTAATTACAATCCCAATGTCATGTAAGACATTTCCATATTAGATTTCCTAGTGATGATAAAGGGCCTCCTTTCACAGAGACGTGGGTAGCACACAGAGCTGAAGAAGGCAACAGCCACAGTTGTGCAGGATGGGAGACAGATGCTGGATTCCTCACAGCATGTGGGGCTCTTTCCCAATATTATCCAACATTATTCATGAGCAATCCCGTGATAATTTCACTTCAAATGGCTTGTGGGTTCAAACATGGTTCAAAACCTACATGAAACATCAATTCCAACTCATATTCAGAGTGTGGTGGGATGGATGCATAGTGATTATCAAGGCTCAAGTGTTGGTGGAGCCCAGTTAGTTAGTGCTCAGCACTGATACTATATAAACAAACCCAGCCACAGGCCACACCAGTCAGGACTGAAATAACAGTTCCCACAGTCTGCTGCCTTTATATCTTCCACTTCCACGTCACTTGGATCTGCAGAGCGTCTCTCCAGCCCAGCCTGTCTCGCATTTGAGCATCAAAGTGGCATGGGTTCATCAAGGGGTATTTTTTTGGCCCTTGATGTCATCTCCTGCTGAGGCCCGAGCAGGTCTGTTTCTGTCCAAGAACGGAGCCTCACTGGAGACAAGAAAGAACGAGGTCTCAGCAAGAGAGGCAAGGTTTGGAAGTGAGGAAGTGACCTAATTTCTTTATTTACCTTTTGCAAGTTTAAGCTATTTGTTAGTCTTACCGGTCTTCTGTGACCTCTTCCTTCTGCTAATCTTCAAATTATATAGTACCCATGGAATTTTATGGCTATTGTTTTAAAAAGAAGTAAACATTTGAATTTCTAATCAAGTTTTGCATGAGGAAATACAGAGAAAAGTTGAAAAGAGACACAAAATCGGTGAAGAAAAAACAAAAACTGTATTAAAATTTTAAGTTAGAAAATCATCACTTGTCACGATTTGGCAAAATCACAGTAATAATCATTTCAGGCAAGATGCTGGAAGTTAGGGTGTTCAAGAATGATGACGATCAGGATATTTCACATAGCAACAAAGCATCTTCCACAACATACTTATTAATCAGAGGGAAAATTCATGACTTCCCCATGGAAAGTTCTAATAGCACCTTAGTCAGATGGTCAAAATCACCTTCAGCAGACCATGCAGTTCCAGAACAAGACTCTGCGTTGGAGACACAGCAGGACAGCCAGCGCAGGTTCCCTATGTGCACAGCCTGGCTATACAAAGAAATGAAGGAATCCGAAATGCACTTAAGTAAAAGAAGGCACAGTGATTCCAACTATAAGACATTCTGTAAGAGACAAAATTAGAGAGACAAAAAGATCAGTGTTGCTGGGGAGAGAAGAAGGAACAGCAGAATACAGGTTTGTAGGGCAGTAAACACCTTCGTATACTATAATGGTGACTACTTCTGATAAATTTGTCCAAATCTATAGAATACTCAGTGCCAAGAGCAAACCCTCATGTAACACACAGACTTAAGGTAGTACTTATTGTATCAAGGCAAGGGCCTCGGTTCTCTGGTGGGGGATACTGGTAATAGGAAGGATGCAGGGGCAGAGGGCACTCCAATTTTGCTATAAAGCTAAAACTACACTGAAAAAAAAATAAAATATATTAAAAGAAAAAAAGGGGGGGGAGGCTGGAGAGATACCTCACAGACTGAGCACTGGCTACTCTTGGAGGACCCATGTTTGGTTCCCATCACCCATAAGGCAGCTAGCAACTGTCTATAACTTTAGTTCCAGGGGATCCAATGCCCTCTTCTGGCCTCTTCAGGCATCGCACACACATGGAGCACATACATACATGAAGACAAAACACTCAATATAAATAAAATAAATTAATCTTTAAAAAAAGAAGTCGGGGCTAGAGAGATGGCTCAGCAGTTAAGAGCACTTCCTGCTCTTTCAGAGGACTTGAGTTTGGTTCCCTACCCACTTGCCTTGATCATCTGTAACTCCAGATCCAGGGCACTCTGACACTTTCTTCTGGCCTCCACAGGCACTGTATTCATGTGCACATAACCTCACACAGACACATACAAATATACACAATTAAAAATAAAAACAAACCCTTTTTAAAAAAGAGGCTTCAGGGGCTGAAGAAATGGCTCAGCAGTTGCTGCTCTTGCAGAAGACCTGGGTTCCATTCCCAGTACCCACATGGCAGCTAACAATCATCCGTGACTCCAGTTCCAGGGGAATCCAACACCCTCTTCTGACCTCCATGGGCACTGCAAGACACAGGTGCACTTATACACATGCAAGCAATACACTCATACACTAAAATAAATTTTTAAAAAGATTTAAAAAGAGACTTCATTGTAAGATGGCAGTCTACAAGACCCCATTAAGTTAACAAAAGAACAGACTTTTCCAATAACAGAAAGAAGAAGAGCTTCCGTAGCTTACAAAGGCAATATCAGAAAAGTGGCAGCAAAAAGATGGGAGACACGAAAAGCAGCCGAGCTGAGCTCAGCTCCTGTGAGGCAGCTGCCTGGCAGCTC